GAATACGATCGTAACGTATCATGAGCTACCGAAGTTGGTTGCCGACTTGCCTATCAAAGTTTGATCCTCGCCCACGAGAACGATACGTTTACGTAAGATATGTTAAGAACGGCATAAGTTTACGTACGAATTGTTATACAACTACTTTTTGACCTGAACTTTCTGGATCGACATTTAATGTTCGCGTGGGCCGTCATCAATCGAAAAATCTTATRTAAACTTTTCCTTTATTGGAATATAATTCTCAATGCATCTAGCGCTTTTTATCAACAAGATCTACCTTCATCATAGGATATTATGGAAACCCCGCGAAGGTTTACCATATTTACTATTGTCTGAATGTTGAATTGATTCTACTATTTTTGTTCAAAACTACGGAAATACGAGAGAAAATTGGTCCGTGTTCCCGCCCTGGAGATTCGGACCTTGTTAGCCAAGAMCTGCAGAATGATTRTTTTGCTTGRMTTTGGAACGGATAATATTGATAGAGTTTTCTAGCTAGTCGTCGAGGAGGTCATCGTCGTCTAGTAAATCGTCATCATCGAAGTTAAAATCATCGTCCTGAAAAATACAAGAACGCTCGACTTAATAGGATCTTTTTATAATAATGAACACTGCTTAGTGCTCTGTTGTAGAGTTTGATTCGTTCATTTTTTCGCTTCCTTGTTCTTCCATTTGATTTTTTGGGGTTTAAATTTGTTTGAATTAATCACTATATTCAATCGCTCAAAAGTCCATTAGTTTATTTATTCCTTACGTTGTTGCTATGTTCACCCATTTGTTKTTKTTTTTTTCAATGTTATCATTCATTTTGTATGTTTATTTATTCATTATTTCGTTACTATGTTCTACCATTTGATTTTTTTCAATGTATTTATTCATTTCGTACATTCATTTATTCATAATCATAAAAGTCCATTAGTTTATTTATTCCTTACGTTGTTGCTATGTTCACCCATTTGTTTTTTGTTTTTTTTCAATGTTATCATTCATTTTGTATGTTTATTTATTCATTATTTCGTTACTATGTTCTACCATTTGATTTTTTTTTTTGTACATTCATTTATTCATAATCATTTGTTTTGTTTAGACGAGTTGCTTCACTCTTCAATTCATCATTCGTTTGTTTGTTTATTAGTTTGCTAGTGTCATAATCGTTCAGTCGTCCTTCGTTCTGCCATGGATTTGATMAGTGAATCGATGAATCCGTCCAACTATACGTACATTCATCCAAACGTCCATTTATTCAACAATTCATTCTTCCATTTGTTCATTTTTCCATTTATTCAACCTCCATTTACTCATTTGTTTAATCATCTTAGCATTTCTTCTGTGCAATTTTTTTCCATCCATCCATCCATCCACCCTTTCATTTATTTTTCTATTCTTTCATCCCTTAATTCAATCTCTATTTAATAATCCAGTTTCAAATTCTCCAGTGCTGTGTGTTAGCCTCATTTGTGCGCAAAATATTCCTAATTGTGAGAATAAAAGTGTGAGATTTCAAATCAATTCTATTGTCTTTCTTTTCAATTTCCATGCGTTTTTTCTCAGCCTATCAATGAAACAAAAGAATATGTTGCTTGGTTTGAGGCTAGCACAGAGCAAACCAGAACTCAAAATCGGAGGATTAATAAGCATTCATTCTATCATTTATACCTGTGCAACATTCCTTCATTGTTTTTCCATCCATCCACCCATACCCGTTCATTTAATTTCCCATTTTTTCGCCCATTTTTTCAGTTATTCATTTACTCATTTGTTTATCCATTCAACAAATATTTCTGTCTAGCATTCCTTGATTGTTTTGCCTGGAACTGTGCTCCCTTTCTGTCTATCAACAGTTCCGTTTCTCATCTATTTAGTCCATCGCCCTATGGCCATTCTGTCTCTATCAATTTCTAAAACATCCTTCTACGAAATTATAAGCAGAAACTCCTACCGCGTGAAAATCTCAGGGTATCTGGTATCTAAGATCTTAGCGACATTTAATTAAAAAAAAATACGTGAAACATTGGGCTGGGAAATGTTGATAAAGTCAGAAGAATGTAACAGGAAAATCACTCGATTACGAACGAAAAACAACAGCTTGAATGAATAAAGACAAAATTAAAAGGAAACGAAGTGAAAAGAAGTCCATCTTGTTTTTCATCTGTAGACAATTCAATCCCAGGTGGCAATCGTTTCGATCTTTGTCTCGAAACAACCTTGCAAAGTACTGCCCACAGTGATACTTGTTATTCAACCAAATAGTTGTTATCGATAATACCTCGTATTGCACCGACTTATCGATCCGAAAATCAGTTTAATTAAAGTACAAACACGCCATGCATTGCTAAACAGTACAAACGAAATAAAACAACAGAAAAAAAACAGTAAAACTAGTGATATTTAGTTGATCCGACGCGATCCGACTTAGTTGAATGGTGTTGAACGCTGTTGAATGGTGTTGAATGATGTTAAATGGTGTTGAACGATGTTGAAAAATGGGCGTGCAAACGCTTTCGACATTTCCGTTCAAGAAAATCGAACGAATGTTGAAACAAATGTTGTGATATAAGTTGTGCCCACGTGACAAGCAGAACGAATACTGCGCATGTGCATGCACTACAATATTAAAATAACCGCGGAAACGGCTCTAACATAACTTAACATTTTTGAGAACACATGAAATGATGAAACAAAGTTTAAAATGCACATGACACCTTTTAGAAAATCACTTTCATCCGAAAGATAACACGCTGCCAACCACTTCTGTGAAAAAGGAATAGATTTTGAATTGTATTTTCCAGGTTATAGATATTTGAAAATTGAAAATGCAAATGAAGTGATGTCAACTAAGGAATTGATCCAGACTTTTTACATTGTTTGCGCTATGCTGTTCTTGGTTGAAGAGCTCAAATCATCAATCATAGTAATAATTGAGAACTGAAAATACTTTTTCCAATGTAACAAAAAAATAGCATCCTCTTTCATGATTTTGTATATTAAATCATTCCTTAGTCGACGTCGCTTCATTAGCATTTTCTAAGTTTCGATTGTCCATAACTTAGAAAATACAATTTAAAATCAATTTCTTTAGCACCATTTTCTCTTTTGGATGAGAATGAATTTCTAATRGTGTCATGTGCACTCTAAACGCTGATTGAACCGTCTAATTCGACTTTAAAKCTATCTACCCTATTAGCTACACATYTAGCTACCTATCTACCTACCTCCAAGGGCTTAAACAACAGCTCACAAGGCTCAATAGTACTCACGTCGTCATCAAGTTTATCGTCCGCTGGAGCGTCCTCGAAGTCGAGATCGTCATCGTCATCCTGTAACATAACGCACATCAGCAGTTTCAGCTGTTAGAAACAAATATAGCAGTATTATAGTCTAGTTAGAGGCAAATGTAGCAGTATTATAGTCTAGTTAGAGTCAAATATAGCAGTATTATAGTCTAGTTAGAGGCAAATATAGCAGTATTATAGTCTAGTTAGAGGCAAATATAGCAGTATTATAGTCTAGTAGGACTCTTGCGCTACTGCGGACACTAAATTGCGGTCCCTAGGTGTCCATAATAGCGAGAGTTAACTGTATTATTCGACGATTCCTTCATTTGTTCGCCCATTCATTCATTTAACCATCCATTGTACAGTCAACTCTCGCTATTACGGACACCCTCGGGACCGTAATTTAGTGGTCCGCAGTAGCGAGAGTCAGTAGTAACGAGAGTTACTTTCAGTCATTTCTTTGTATTTTTCGCCGGGGACTAGTATTTTACTGTCCGCAATATCGAGGTGTCCGTTGTAGCGGGGTGTCCGTAAGGCGAGAGTTGACTGTATCTCAAACAAACTCTTATTTCCTAACCTTATCATCMGTTAAACTCGAGGTGTCWGGTTTTTGAGCACTTTCCGGTGGMGGTGRGGGCTCGRGCGCAGGCTTTGGTGGCGGCGCGGCCTCTGCYAATTGAGAGGGTCTAGGCTCTAGTGGTGCAGGRGCRGATGCACTGAACATTGGCGGTTGCGTGTCTATTTCGTTGAAAGAATCGTTCAAGTCGGAAATAGTGAGGTTCTCTGCAGCAGACTGCGAACAAGAGATGAGAAAAATCTACCTTTAGTCGTGTTAAATCGGAGATTGCAAAAGTAAATCTATGAGATATTAAAAGGGGTTAATTCACACACTCACTCACCCACTCACTCACTTTCCTGTGAACGTTTATTTGTTCATGTATCAGTTTCAAGTCAATAGTCATAACCTCAAATGCGTGTTAAATACAAGATTTCTACTGCATTGCTCTCGAAGTGTACCTTATCTCAGTAGATAAATACAGAGCTCTGGAAATATCCGGTACTTACAATTATCGAGTCGAGTCGTCCCTCTTCCTTGGCCGTTTTCATTTCTTCAAAGATATCACGATCGGTATTTTTCTGGAATGAAGTATAACAATTGAATCAGACCTTGTCTACTTTCATATGTTTTCCTCGGGTTGCATTGTTCTCCCTTCTAAAGGGAAAAAAATCCAAGAAAAATCCAAAATCTCAAGATAACTATGATAGGGGAACAAAAATCGGAGCGATCTTCATTTCTAAGAGATATATATGCATAAGATTAAATCTAACGTTAACACAAACGGTCACCACAGGAAGCCCATCAAACAAAACGAACTCGAATGATCCGCTTGTGATCTATGTAATCAGCCAATCACTAATATATACAAACATCCATTAACCTGAACATTCTTGTACTGTSCAGCGGGCTTCAAATTCAACCGGTCGTGTTTTAAGAACTGTTCGGCCATCACTGCCTCTTGGAACTCTGGGAAAAGGTTTTCGTATTCCGAAGGGTCAGCCAGAGAATCGGCCGCTTTTTTGTTCACTTTTTCCAAGTCCTCTTTCCATAGTTTTACAATTCTGAACAAAATATGAAATAAATATAAGTAAAATGAKACGAGAGGAGAAAACTTTGGGAAAGGGAATAAAGTGGAACCTCGTTAATCCGGCCACCGAAGGTATTCCGAAGGTACAGGTACAACGAAAAGTGCCCGCATTAACGGGATGGCCGTATTAACTGCTAAGAAAGGTATGGGTGTTTAATTTCCCATGACCTAAAACTTTGGTCGTTATGACGGGGTGCCCACATTAAGGGGGAAGCATTAAGCCTGGTTTCCATTGTACAAAGAGAACAGAATATAGAAAAAAAGGGAAAAATAGGTCAGAAATAGTAAAAAAGAGAAAAAAACTTACCTTGATACGTGACTAGGGGCATATGTCCTCGCCATGAAAGCAGCCTCTGGGAAGCGATCAGTGTTACACAAGAGGTCAAGACACTCCTCAACTCTATAGAGAATTAAAATATGGTCAACTCTCTCGTAAGCGACCACCTCGGGATCAGGAAAAAGTGGTCGCTTACGAGAGATGGTCGTTTACGGGAAAGTTTTTTTACAGAGTTTATATGGGAATTAACAAAATGGGAAATTTAAAAGGTGGTCGCTTATGGGAGATGGTCGCTTACGAGAGTGGTCGTTCACAGAGAGTTAACTGCATGGGTCAGCAGTTAACGGACAGACAGATAGACTAACCTCCCCAGTACAAAATAAGCCAAAAAYGCAACGTTGTTTTTTCCTTTTTTCGCTGCAGTGACAGCAAGCCGTGCAATCATGTCAGCATCYCCGGATGACGTTGCTAATAGCAACAGACCACCAAAATCTTGAGCGTGRTGTAGGCATTCTTGTGCAAGTTGGATTTGACATTTTGAGATCGCTAACTCTGCTAGCTGTTTCCACTTGGACTCACTCTGGAATGATATGAGTAATAATGGTGATTATTTGCACCAACTGAACAAGTTGAGATTTAAATACATGTACACCAAGAAGGAAAACTCCTATGATTACCTCTGCTTCCACAGCAATCTCATACGCAATCTTCATCTCGCCAAGATTAATTGCTAATTCAAATCTAAAATAAAACATCAAGTCAAGTGATTTTGTACAGTTTCATTGCTGACCAGTTTTACAACTTCACAAATACGCAAAGATGTGTTACCTGTGTTCAGGGTCACATGACACMGCCAAGGCTTGCTGTTTGAAGCCTTGTTTTTCCAGGAAATGCGCGACACGATTTCGCTGATCCCTTGGAATKGTGGGTAAAACCTGTGAAGTGAGCAAGTAATAGACGAAATCGTTATCATGATAGTTATAGAAAAACACATTTTGAGATATTTTTACAATCATAATCATAATCGTAATCGTACCTGTTTTGCGGTCTCAAAGTCCCGTCTCATGACGGCTGTCTGGTATTCCAGGACAGACAGTAGCAGTGAATAACTGACAACATTCATGTCCTTGTCTGCCAAGTACAGACGGCTGTCCTTAGGGATGTACCCCAGCAAATACATGGGCCTGTTGATATGACAAYCAAGATGCATGACGGGAACCATTGAGTCGTAACAGTTAGGTATGTGGGAACATTTGGAGGTGGAGTATAAAGAAAGATTAATTCGGAAAAAAGCGTGACATAGTCCTTTTCTGAGATAGCAGTTTGCATTAAATCGTGGTCTAGATTCGGAACAAATATCTTTTGTTCATCGTGCCAAATATTAGTGTTGTTTTGACTGAAGCTAGACCACAATGCACCAGAAAAGGTCTATTATACCAGCTATAAAAACAATCACAATAATTACAAATTAAATAAGTCATTTTAGACTGTACCTGTCCAGATGAGCGATGGTGACAATCTCACCTCCAACATAGTAGTTCAGCCTGTTAACTGTCATAATATGAAGGGATTTAGAAAACGCAATTTTTAGGAATTATTTTCAGTTTTGAATGCAATTATCACCTTATTTGCAACTCGCTATTACCGTAATAGCGGACACCCTCGGGACTGTAATTTAGTGTCCGCAGTAGCGAGAGTCCGTAGTAACGAGAGTTACTTTCAGTCATTTCTTTGTATTTTTCGCCGGGGATTCAGTATTTTACTGTCCGCAATATCGAGGTGTCCGTTGTAGCGGGGTGTTCGTAAGGCGAGAGTTGACTGTATATTTGAATACAGTTTTGTAATACATGTACTTACCTGAGTTTGTGTATATGAAGCAGTCGCCGACCCATATACCAGTCTTAACAACCTCCTCAATCTCCCCCTGAACATCAAACGCATCCTCTATACCATCTTCTGTTATCTCATCACGGTTTTCAAGAGCTCTAGCGACATTGTCAGCATTGTATTTCAGAATAAAGAAAGAATCGTCTGTGCTTATGCAGCATAA